CCGAGTGTGCCGCATGACGGAGTGAGCTCCCGTCTCTGGTCCCAGCTCCTGCCAACCTAGCAGTTCGAAAGCAAGAAATTGCAAGTAGATAAATAGGTACCACTTCAGTGGGAAAGTAACAGCGTTCCGTGTGCCTTGGTGTTTAGTCGGCCAACGTCTTCGGACAGCACTGGCTCTTCGGCTTGGAAACGGAGATGAGCACCGCAACCCTAGAGTCGGACTCGACTGGGTTTCAAGCAAGGGAACCTTTACTTTTACCTTTACCCGTGCTGAAGAAGCCCTGCTCCTTGACCTCTGATGGTGGCCTGGTCCTCACAGCTGTTTTAAAACTAATGCCTGGGCTGTAGGGCATCAGACTGCAGGTGGGGGTTCCCTTGCAGAAGAGACTTGATAGTTTCTCCAGACTTACGAGTTGTTCATGTGCCGGAATCTTTTGGGCAGGAGCATCTACCTCATGAGTCACTAGAGTCCTCAACTGTAGTCGAAATACAGCTGCATCCCAGATCACAGTTGACTACCTCATTAAGGGCCATAGGAGACATTATGGAAGGAGATCTGTGAACAGATCTCACAGAGTTATTTTAGGCTTAAAAACAGCAGAGGGGTGATTCAGATAATTGCTTTGGCACTGGGCGAGAGTTGATCTGGTCCTCTTCCCATTTGCTTAATGTAAGTTGCCCCCGAAAGGGCAAATAAGAGCTCCAGGAAAGCGATCTGCAAGGACGCAGCTGGCCCAGTCTGGTCTTGCATTTACCTTCAGTGGGGACCACTGGATCTAACTTCCAACTAAACATCAGTGATTACTCAGTTAAGTTAAGAGCCAGTTTGGTGTAGTGGTTAAGTGCGTGGACTCTAATCTGGGAGAATCGGGCATGATTCCCCACTCCTCCACATGCAGTTGCTGGTGTGACCTTGGGTCAGTTACAAGTTCTTTCAGAGCTGTTCTCTCAGGAGCAGTTATTGAAAGAGCTCTCTCAGCCCCACCCACCTCACAGGGTGTCTGTTGTGAGGAGAAGAAGGGAAAGGAGTCTGTAAGCCGCTCTATGACACCTTTGGGTAGTGAAGGGCGGGGTATAAATCCAATCTCTTCTTCTTCTTCTTCTTCTTCTTCTTCTTCTTCTTCTTCTTCTTCTTCTTCTTCTTCTTCTGATAACTATGAGTGTCAATCGTGACTGTTGAATCCAGTCAAATAAATTCTGATTCAGCAGTGGCCAATCAGATTCCTTCAGAAGTGTATAGACAGGACATGATGAAAATGGAGGAAGGAAGGAAGGAAGGAAGGAAGGAAGGAAGGAAGGAAGGGATCTGCCTCACAAAGGTGGTACAGGGCCGGGGAATGCGTTAATTTCTCTTCCCAAGCACTTCATGAGATTCCCTAAAACACATCCTTGAACAATCCATTTGGGGCCTTTGGTTTTCTGATCTTTGACCCCGTTCACACGGCGAATTTGCTCCGCGGGCGGGACGGCTTCCCTGCGGATTAAAGCTGCGTGATCATACCTGAACATCTGGGAAACATCCCACTCCCGTCTCTAGCCCGCAGCTTCGACCCGAAGACGCGGATTTAAAAGCTACCGGGAACCATTCACTAGTTTTCCGATAATGCATGTCGCGTGCGGGCGTCTGATCAGAAAGCAGTGGTAGCCCATCGCAGCCAGCGCCCGTCGGCATCCCACACATGCGCACAAATGCCTTGCTGCTGTGTTACCTCACGTGGTGTGATCGGCTGCTGGAGGCTTGGACATGGAGCCTCGGGGGAAGGTGAGATCGCGCTATCGTGCGTCTTTTTGCTCCGGCTCAAAAAAGCCTTCCGTACCCTGTGGGTTATCCCGCTCGTGTGACCAGGGCCTTTGTCCCATCCAAAAGAAGGTGTGAGAAACTAAAGGAAGGGAAAAGACACGATGAACTCCGCTCAAAAGCAGCACCAGTGCTGAAGGAAGTCTGAACTACTTAATAATTATTTTGTTTTAGTCTCTACTAAGCAGGGGTCATTTCATAGAAAATGTGCTAGGGGAACTTATTAGCATAACACATTAGCATATGCTGACATCAGGGGCCCGGCGGTGGACCTGCAAGGCCGGCAGGAGTGTGAGGAAGCCCCGCCAAGGCCCTCCCTGGCCCCACGCAGGCAGGGGTGGGGAGAGGCGGGGAGGAAGCAACTTACCCTCCCTCTTCTCCCGCCTCCTCCTGGCTGAATGAGGGCCGGAAGCGGGGCGGCCGGAAGCGGGGGCGGGGCTTCATCACGTGCCCCGCCCCCGCACCTCACCCGGGGGAACTGCGATCCCCCGCGATCCACCCCAAATCGACCTCTGCTACTAAGAAGGAAAGCTGTGATGGCACAGTTTCCAACACTGATAGTGTGCAAAAATGAAAGTTGCTTAGGAAATCTTAGAGCATACCAGAACACATTAACACACTGAATGAAGACAGTGAGTCTTAGTGATATACACCCCTCAAGGACCCTGAAGAAGTAAATGGGACACTCCATAGATTAATGTACATAGAACAGACTGTAAGCACATGCTTATCCTGTAAAACCTTGTTGTAAATGAAAATTGAATAAACTTTACTGTAAAAAGGAAGAAGTAAATAGGACAAAACCTTGAGCAAGAAATTATCATATTTATAAAGGGAAAGCTGTCTTTCTAAGCTACGTTATTCAGCTGTTATTTTCCGTTACGTTACAGGTGCTCAAATGGTCATAACAGATTTGACGACTCCTGCTTTTTTGAACATGCTGATCCTTCAGGAAAGCTTGGACTATGTTTTGGAATAGGAATAATTCTTGGTTCTTCTCTGGGTGGTAGTCTAACCACACATTTTGGGTAAGTGGTCCTAATTCGTTTCTGTCTTGTGTCTAGCATTCTTGGTTGTTCTCCTGAGAAATATCTGACACCTCCCAGCCACTGGCATAAATAAGTACAGTAATTTACTGGCCGAGAATGAGAGAAATTGTGATTGTGGGGTAATCTGGGTCAGAGATATACTCACAGACAGGGCTTTTTTTGTAGAAAAAGCCCAGCAGGAACTCATTAGCATAATAGGCCACACCCTGACACCACAGCTCATTAGCATATTAGGTTGCAGCCCCCGTTGCCAGAAGTGTGGTCATCCAGCCGCACCCACCTTTACGTTCTTATTCTGTTTTACCTGTTTGTTGTCAAAACCCAGGGCCTTTTTTTGTAGCAGGGACTTCTTTGCATGTTAGGCCACACACCCCTAATGTAGCCAATCCTAATGAGTTTCTGCTCTTGGGTGTGGCCTATTATGCTAACGAGTTCCTTCTGGGTGTGGCCAACTCAGGAGCCAGCTGGAACTCCGTTCCTGTGCGTTCCTGCCCAAAAATAGCCCTGCTCACGGATGAAAAGAATGTAGATCTGAGTCTGTCTAGAGAGTTATGGTTTGGAATACATGCCAAGTCAGAACAAGAGAAGCAATTTCAGCAGCAGAGCCAGAATACTTCATATGAAGAACCTGTGAGCCCCCAGAAGTCCCCATGACTTCCAGGCTCGCAGGCATACACACACACACACACACACACAAAGGCCGAGTTCAGACCGGCAGTTTGGCCCAGCAGCCAAACGTTTCAGGAGCATTTCAGTAGCGGATTTAAGGGGCGGGTTCACACAGGCACACCTGTCAGGCGTCCCCCAGCTGTACTCAAGCTGTCTTGTGCCGCTTCCCTCTCGAGTGTAAAAAGTACCTGGCGGAAGTGGTAGCAAACCGTGTGTAGAGCGGGTTGATTCCGGTTCCCTGAGTGTGAACGCAAGTGCTACTAAGGTGGGAACAACCCGCAGTCGTTGGTAATAGGCGCTGGCTGTTTCCGCAGCAGGCGCCCATGTGCCCATGCGCATAGGTGCATGCAGTGGAGCGCAGAAACAGCCGCGAACAGCCTGCCAGGGGCAGGCCGACAGTGCAAACGTTCCCTTGCGCTTCCTCCACAGTATCCTCCCGCTTAATTCGCTGCAGTGCAAAAGGGAATACCGCGAACAAGCCGTTCCCAGTCTGTTCCAGGTCGTCTTTGCCACGACTCCCTAGCACTTCAAATTGCCAATCTGAACTTGGCCAAAATATTAAAAAAAACAAACAACCCAAATGTGCAACAGCTTCATGGTGATGTGCCTCTACCTTTTTGTCCCAAGGAAGCCAATACGTAGTATATAAATTCAAGAAAGCCCTTCCCCAAGGGCAGATTAACACATTCTGCCATGCCATGTGTACGCCCCGAAGAAGGTACTTACTTCCTCTGAGAAGGGGATTAATCTCAGTGTCTAAAAATAATAATGGTGAAGTTTCCATAAAATTTCACATTATTTATTTATTTATTTATTTATTTATTGGATTTCTACTCCGCCCTCCCAGCCAAGGCCGGCTCATTATTTATTCGGTGTAGTGGTTAAGTGCGCGGACTCTAATCTGGAAGAACCGGGTTTGATTCCCCACTCCTCCATTTGCACCTGGCTGGATTACCTTGGGCAAGCCGTAGTTCTGATAAGAGCTGTCCTTGAAAAAAGAGCTGTTCCTGTCAGAGCTCTCTCAGCCCCACCTACCTCACAGGGTGTCTGTTGTGGGGAGGGGAAGGGAAAGGAGTTTGTAAGCCGCTCTGAGACACCTTTGGGTAGTGAAGGGCGGGGTATAAATCCAATCTCTTCTTCTCCTTCTACCTCACAGGGTGTCTGTTGTGGGGAAGGGAAAGGAGTTTGTAAGCCGCTCTGAGACACCTTTGGGTAGTGAAGGGCAGGGTATAAATCCAATCTCTTCTTCTTCTTTTACCTCACAGGGTGTCTGTAGTGGGGAGGGGAAGGGAAAGGAGTTTGTAAGCTGCTCTGAGACACCTTTGGGTAGTGAAGGGCGGGGTATAAATCCAATCTCTTCTTCTTTTACCTCACAGGGTGTCTGTAGTGGGGAGGGGAAGGGAAAGGAGTTTGTAAGCCGCTCTGTGACTCCTTTGGGTAGTGAAGGGTGGGATATAAATCCAATCTCTTCTTCTTCTTCTTTTGCCTCACAAGGTGTCTGTAGTGGGGAGGGGAAGGGAAAGGAGTTTGTAAGCCGCTCTGAGACTCCTTTGCGTAGTGAAGGGCGGGGTATAAATCCAGTCTCTTCTCTTCTTCTTAATTAATTCAATTAATTAAAATATTTGTATACCACCCTTTTACCTGAACCAGGTCAAAGGAACAATGAAAGCAAGGTCTTAAAATGCCAGTGAAAAACATAATCGCTCGGTCTGGGGTAGCTGATAAAAATCAGGACGGAACATCCTAAAAACATCCAGGTGGGACACCATGGAATGTCTGAACAAAATGAGTCCTGCTATATATACATCCTGGGTTGCCCAGCCGTGTAGTTGCCCACTGACTGCCCACTAGATGTCTCTGTTTTGCCATCAAGATTTGCATTCATTTTCCAGTGAGGGTAGTCATGGTCTAAGAGGACCTTTCTTCAGAATAAGCGTATAGCTGCACTACAGACTTACAGCAGTTTCTACACCAGTGTAGCTGTCATCCTGCCCCCCCCCCCCCCACCCCTATGGGAATTTTTGATTGGCTGATAATCAGGGAACTGGAATCAACCCATTCTACACAGTGTTTGCTACCACTTTCACCCGGTACTTTTTAAACTCGGCAGGAAACGGCACAAGACAGCTTGAGTACAGCTGGGGGATGCCTGACAGATGTGCCTGTGTGAACCCGCCCCTTTAATCCGCTACTGAAACGCTTGGCTGCTGGGCCAAACTGCCGGTCTGAACTCGGCCTTTGTGTGTGTGTGTGTGTGTGTGTGTGTATGTGCTTGCGAGCCTGGAAGTCATGGGGACTTCTGGATTTCTGGTCCTCTCTAACAGAACTATAGTTCTAGGATTCTCTGGGAAGAAGGAATTACCGTTCAATCAGCTGAAGTCTGTTATGTAGCTATGCTGATTGCTGTTGGTGCAAGAAACATTAGTTTGTTACTCATTTGCTGTACATGGTCTTCAGCTTCCAAAGACTGTACTTCGGACACTGAGATGTCATGACTTCTAGACATTGGGTTTACTGTATTTTTTAATCTATGAAAACAGGGCGACCAACTGTATCACTCCTCTCTCACTCATGCCTAACACGACTTCATTACATGGCTATGGGAAAGTATAATTCTGGAAATGGTTTGGGCTACTGACACTGGACTGCGAGACTATTATGTTAAGTACATGCTTGGGGCCTGCTTTTTGGGGGTCACATGGGACTTTTGTTGTAGTGGTTAAGAGCGATGTATTCTAATCTGGAGAACCGGGTTTGATTCTCCTCTCCTCCACGTGAAGCCAGCTGGGTGACCTTGGGTCAGTCACAGTTCTCTCAGAGCTCTCTCAGGCCCACCTACCTCACAGGGTGTCTGTTGTGGGGAGAGGAAGGGAAGGTGATTGTAAGCTGCTCTGAGACTCTTTTGGGTAGTGGAAACCAACTCTTCTTCTTCTTCTTCTCTTTAACAAAGCAAAAGCATCAATTGTTGCTAGAGGAGAAAGATGTGCTTCTTTGGGCCTCGTGTTAAGTACCCTGACAGAGCCAAGTGGGTGTGTGAGCTCTCAGCAATTCTTCACTAGCTGAAGACTTGATTTCCCATTTTCACAGGCTTTGTTCTTCCGTGCATCTCCTCCATGCCAACATGAATGCATACTCTGATTTTACATCCTTCTCTTTTAAGAATATAACATAATTAGAGCCCTGATGGATCAGGCCAGTGGTCCATCTAGTCCAGCATCTTGTCTCTCACAGTGGCCAGCCAGCTCCTCTGGAGGGTCAACAACAGGCCATAGAGGCTGAGACCTTCTCCTGATGTTGCATCCTGGGACTGGGATTCATAGGTTGAATGCTTCTGAATGTGAAATTTCCTCTCAATCACCATGGCTAGTAGCCATCGGTAGACCTATCCTCCATGAATCTATCTAATCCCCTCTTAAAGCTGTCTATTCTTTTAGTCATCGCTACTTCCTCTGGCAGCAAATTCCACATTTTAATCAACTGTGTAAAGTAGTACTTCCTTTTGTCTGTCCTGAATCTCCTGCCCATCAGCTTCAAATTATGCCATCGAGTTCTAGTATTTTGGGAGAGGGAGAAAAGAAATTCTCTTTGTCAACTCTTTCTACCCCATCCATAATTTTATAAACGTCTAGCATGTCTCCGTTCTGAACTGAAAAGTCCCAGACTGATTTCTCACAAGTTGCTGCTCCGCCCTCGCATTTCCCTTTGTCCTGATCACATTAGTCGATTTCCCACTACTTGCTGCATGGCCGCATTTTGCCCCACAGCTCGGTCCATTTCCCCCGCGTCTACTCAATCCTATTTTTTGAGGATCGAGTAGACGCAGAGGAAATCGAGCAAAGCTGCGGGGCCAAATGTGGCCACGCAGCAAGTCGTGGGAAATCGACTAATGTGATCGGGACAAAGGGAAACGCGAAGGTGGAGCAGCGGCTTGTGAGAAATCGGTCCCAGACTCTTCAGCCTTTCCTCATAGGGAAGGTACTCCAACCCCCTAATCGTCTTGGTTGCCCTCTTCTGTACTTTTTCCACCCCTGCAATGTCTTTTTTGAGATATGGTGGCCAAAACTGTACACAGTATTCCAAATGAGGCCACTATTGGGTGTTGTAAATAAGCATTATAATATCAATAGCCACACCATAGATCTATACAGAGGCATTATAATATCAATAGCCACACCATAGATCTATACAGAGGCATTATAATATCAATAGCCACACCATAGATCTATACAGAGGCATTATAATATCAATAGCCACACCATAGATCTATACAGAGGCATTATAATATCAATAGCCACACCATAGATCTATAC